CCCCGCGCAGCGCGGCTCCGCCCGCCGAGCCCGAGCTCAAGAGACAACGTCTATTGCTGCTCGCCTCGCCGTTTGGTTTGGGTTTTTGTTTTGTTTTGTTTTTCACGTTCTCAAGACGGAATCGTTTCTCCTGCGGGGGTTAGTGGGGTCTGTGGTGTGGACGGGGGGTGCTAAGGGCACCCTGCTTCCAAGCCCGGTACGGCACTGTATGGTAGCGCATTAAATGCAAATTACAACGGCAAAATTTAGGCCTTATGTCATTTCTCATAACAAACAAGCCAGGCTGAGCTGGGCACAGAGGGGCTCCGAACCACGGGGAGATGGCCACACCGTCACCCTCAGGCCCGGTGTCCAGCCCAGTGTCCCCTGGCCAGCCAGCAGGGATTTCTTGCCAACGGGGATTTCTTGCAAATAAGCATTTTTTTTGCAAACAGGGATTTCTTGCGTACCTAAAGGCAAGGCACTGAACAAAGCCTCTCCCTGACGGGCACCAAGACCTCTGTCTGTAATTGCACAGGCTGGGCAAGAACAGGAAAGGGCAAGAACAGGAGATTTTCAGTGCAGTCATGAAATCAGTGTTTTTATTATTTTCTTTCAACTTCTGTGAAAGGCAGTGAGTGCTCCTCCTGTGTCTTTTTCTGAAGCCCCCTCCCCATGTGCCTGTATTACACAATGTGACAGGTGAGGATTAGCCAGAAGAAGGGGGCCTGTCCAGTCTGCACTGGACAACAGCGGAGAGAAATTCTTTATTCCCAAAGGCTATTAAAAAAAGGTAGAAAAGAGATTATTTTCCCTTGGAACAAGCTCTATGTGGAAGCATAAAGTGCAGTATAGCACATGCTGGTTTTGGCTGGGGTAGAGTTAGTTTTTTTCACAGTAGCTAGTACAAGGCTATGGTTTGGGTTTGTGCTGGAAACAAGAGTTGATGGCACAGAGATGTTTTCGTTATTGCTGAGCAGTGCTCACGCCTTTTCTGCTCCTCACACGTGGACACCAGTGAGGGCCAGGGGTGCACAAGGAGCTGTGAGGGGACACAGCTGGGACAGCTGACTCCAACTGGCCAAAGGGACATTCTGTACCGTATGTCATCATGCTCAGCAATATAAAGCTGGGGATGGTCAGAGTGATGGCGTTGGTCTTCCCAAGTCACTGTTACGCGTGCTGGCACCTGGGGATGGCTGAACACCCACATCTGCCGATGGGAAGCGGTGAACAAATTCCTTGTTTTGCTTTGCTTGCGCACGCGGCTTTCGCTTTACCTATTAAACTGTCTTTATCTCA